AAACAGATTTTATTGCGTATCATATTATGGTCCGTCGGAACTCGCGACTAATGAATGCGGTGAAGCGAGACGTATCCCGTAATACCCTATCTACACAGTACAAAAGATTAATACAAACTTACTACATTAATGTAGAAAACATCGAGTATCAAAATATAATTAACACGTTTTGATTTGCATCTTTCACTAACCAATAACAGCCGTATACTAGAATCAGCCAATGGGTTTGGATAATTTTGAGCTTAGAATGGACGCTGGGTATCATGTCGGATACTGAATGTCACATTGACATTGTCACTGACAAATTATTAACCGTTACGCTGTAAAACATTTTATTGACGCGATGATTGTACGTGTCTACTCATAAAATTCTGACTTTAGTGATGTTTGTGACTGTAATATTAGTATCGACTAATATATACTAATCGATAATAATATTGTCTATGTTTCCTACGATTTTATGCCTAGTCAAGTAACGTGTAAAGCATAAAACCGTTTATTTAGCATTTATCCACGAAAATTAGAACCATGGGTGCATTGCAACAGAATTATATGATGTAGACCGATCTATTGCAAAACATTAAATGTTGGAAGCCGGCAGTGAGAATGGCCGCAATTACACCGAGTGTGTATGTTAACTAGACAATATCACGGGAATTTAATATAATTTCATACCTATAAGCGTTGCCTTCCGAACAACGCAAATGACCAGAATGTACACGATTCAATAACAAAACTCGCTTGGCACGAGATTATAATTACCAATAATTATTATAATTAAAAGAATGCAAGTATGACTAAATTAATGTTTAGTGTGACCACAAACACTCGATCCATTCATACGTTATCTAAAGAAATACCTAAGTACCTAAATAATAACTACGAGGGAAATAATATTAACCTATTCAAAAGCAAGACACAATACCTTATAGTCCAAGGGATATTATGCCGAATGATAAATCTAATTATAGTGTGCTTCTATGTACGACTGTACGAATTCTAATAGCGTTTGATAAAATACGCGATGAATTAATCAAATACAAAAAATTAATACGTATAGTTTTTATATTAATATAAATAACAATTTTCCTTCTAAATTTTTTAACATAAAACAAAATTACTTTAAAAATCAATGCAACGGTTATCACTGTGAGGTGAAACAATTGCGATGTATATAAGGAGATACAGCTATTAAGTAAAGATTATCTAGATGTGTGTTACTTTAATATGTATTTGTATTATTTTATTAAAATTTGCAAAAGTAACAAACGTGTTTCTTTGTACTTTTAAGCAATTCACTAAATTACACCACACTAAAATTCATTGTGAAGAAATCTGCATGTCGGTGTCTAAATAAATTGTCATTAATTACAAAAATTTAACAAACATATGCAAATAAACTAAGAAAGTTGGCAACGTTTGGGTAATTACATTTATTTTAACTGATGAAATAACTAAGTGACTAAAATATGAATAATCAAACACATACATCGATTATCGTTAATATATAATAGTACGGTTGTAAAATTTAGGGAAGAACTAAATATATATGTATATCTTTTCTTTCCTGTTTCTCGATTAAACTTATTGGCCGTAAAGACTAAAATTAATATTATAGAACAGGTAAGGTAAGTAGGTTAAATTTATTCTTTGTATATTTCTTAATATGGATGTAGAAATATTTTTTTCTATCTAAGTTAATGTGAGTAAGTTTTTACGTACACCATAACTTTTGATAAATGCAGAAATATACTATTATACTCTTAATTTGATACGGTTTAAAATCTATATTGGTATGTCACGTAGCTATAATAGGCAACTATCTATAGACATTTATATAGAATATGTTACTATAGTAATGATATACACTGAGAAGTTATATTACCGTGTATGTCACACTTTGCAAAACAGAGTATATTTCTTTTTAAATACCGGATAAAATTTTAAATCAGATGTATTTAATTTTCTTATTATAATTTACTACTTTTGTATTCATAGAGGTAATGTTGTTTATCAAAATTTTATATAAAAAAACAGCCTTATATGAATGAGGAAATAGGTCGTATATGTTTTAAAATATTTTTATTTGTACCGGAAAGGGAGTCGACGAACTCTCACTCTGATTCATTAAGTTCTATGATAATTAATACATCTACTTAGATGGATTTGTATTGACTATTAAATATGTTTTTCTTTTATAATTTGTGTTGCCTTCACTAATTATACGAACTGTAATGACACCGCACTTTTATTTGTACATGCTCACCATCAGATGATCTGGTATTTTAATATTTTCCTAAATATACCAACAACAGCTCGTTACAAATTTCTTTTTATCAAATATTTTTACAGGGTACGTACATCAAGATAAATGTACATAAAAACTTTTAAATATAACTCTATATTAGAACGAGCAACCTTCAATAAAATTAAAATTGAATAACATTTATGTGATGGCATTACAGTTCGGTTGGTTTGTAAAACAATTAGGGATATTTGATATTGTTGAAATTATGTACTATCGATTTTCTGTTAAACTAGTATATGCATACTATGTAATATATCTCATAATACATTTTAAAAGCATCTTAGTGTATTACAACGGCATATTTACATACTATTATATCATGCTATGTTAAATGTTATGTATCATATATTGGCAATAATTCACAATAATCCCTATGTAGGTACAGAAGCATAAACAAGTTGTACAGTTGGTCGAGAAAGATATAAAAGTGTATTATTAATGGTCACTATTAAATAGGTAATTCGAAGCTGAGAATACTAATATTAAATATCTAAGAGGTATTACAACCACACTAGGCGACTGGCAACTAAAATCCAACGCGAGAGAAATAGTGCTGTAGATGACAAGGAATATTATCTAATAACTAGATTATGTTTAGTACAACATTCTGACTTTAAATTTGTCAGCACACTAGGTGTCTTTGAAATATTAATTTTAAAAACAGTTCAACAAAAAAGGTATCTACTAAATATAACGCGTATTCAACTGTTATCTACGTATTACTTTAACACTGATATCGAAAGGATTTAGTTAAGCCAGTGCGCCGACCACTCAAACCGTGTCTGATGACAAAGATGACGAATAATGAGGTGCAGTGATGCGGATGATAGCGTGATGACGTGCGGATGATATTCGCCCTACTAACTACGCAACAAATACGAGCGATGTCGTATTTAGTCCAAAAAAGAACAGGAGTATTCATATCAAGTGTTCGGTATCATTTCTGTGTGCACGAACTCTTATTACCCCACAGTCACATAGAAACAATTATGACAACACTATCAACAAATACTCCAACTACAAGTTTAGTAAAAGGTAAATGGCAGTTTCGATTTAGAAGGAATAATGCAAAAATTTTTACCTATAAAAAGTGTCAAGTCTTTATTAGAATTATTGCCTAACATTCAGCGTACCCGGTAATAGTTCCGCTGGTATCACGTTGCGCTGGAGTTCATACGAGCCGTACTTTACGCGCCTTTAATCCGCACCACTATATTTATCACTATACACGCACTAGTACTATGTTTTTATCACTTGTAATCACTTTGCGAGTAATAAGTATCAAATGTATAAAAACCTTATCTAAATCGTTAACGTTAAACAATTACTGAGTAAATGTGCACATCACTTATATACGCTTATAAATGTCGAAAGCGCTATTAACTTACAAATAAATAGACATCCATAATCATTACAATAAAACCCTTAAACCTATGAAGATAGAGAAAACTTTCGAAGAATTCAACAAAAAATAATATCGCCTCCACGTTTTAAATTGCAGTAATAAAAATTAGAAACAAGAAGTTATTTTTTCTCAATGATTAGTGGTCATCCAAGTTGGTTTTAAACATCCAACCAAATAGTCATTTCTTTATTTGATATGGCACAATTTAGAAATCAGGATTTTTTTTTACATTTCCATAGGTTTGAATTTATTTTTCATTACGCCTCTAATCACTGAGATGTCAATAAGTTATAATATAGAAGAAAATAAAAAACAACAAGTCCACGATACACGTAACCTTACAATAATTATAATAGATATAGACAAGCTAATCATATTATTGGTGACACAGCAATGACTTATAATTAAAATCCTCTACCATTATTATTGTTTAAATTATATGTAAGTAAATGAAAATGATATTAGAGACAATAAACTAACATGGCATCTCTAAGTAGAATTTTTACTTAAAGTGCCATTTTGGTGGGAGGAAATAAAAGTTCGCAATAAACCTACAAAAATATTGTATAACACTTAAGATAGGTTTAAAATTTTGCTAAAATAAAACATAACTAATAAACTAAATTGAACTAAACAACACACCACTCAAAACAACCCTATCAGATAGGGCCAAAAGTATCACTGAAATTGTAGTAATAATTTAAGACTCGCTGTAGTTCCTTCAAAAGGATTACTTTCATTAAAGATTCAATCGAGAACAAAAAAATGCAATTTCTGGTGTTTGCTATATCGCTAATTATTACTTCCGATAAAAATCAACATCTAATCAACAAAGTGCAGAATAAAATTAAATATAAAATCAATAGTATGATTTAAACCGACACATAAAATTATTTTCAATAATACCAACTTAATTTAACAGAAATTATACCTAGCGTCACATTGACGCGAATAAAAGTTCAAGAGAAAAGTCCAATGGACACCACAGTTTACGCGATTTGATTTAAATAATCAATGAAGTCATTTGAGAACAGCTGCAGATTCGAGGGTTCTGCGAAAGGAGTACGGCGGAGACTTCCGCAACCGCCTACGTTAGCGCGATCTGATGTCTTCGGCCGCAAACTCGCTAGATATCGTTCAGCTAGCGATTCGCCGAAGCTCATCGCTAATGTCTCTGGAGTCAGACCAAGTAATGATAGAGACTCGGTAATGCTTGCCAGGGTTGGGGTGAGGTATTTTGAAGCAGGTTCTTCAACAGGCGGTTCGGGCGCTCGAGATGCCATACTCGTATTAATAACAGGGCGTAAAGCAGGGGGCGACGCTCGCCGAGGAGGCGATGGAGTAACATTCCAGGTGTCAACAGACGCAGGAGGGGTGCCGGGAGAGTGTCCCGGCACCGCCGACTGTTATGGCCACTGCTGATAGATTGGGAAGGCCCGTTTTGTGAAGCAGTAGGCGATTGGCTTCACGAAGTGCGCGTCGAGTGTACGGCAGTGTGGGCACGTCAGTGGATGCGAATAGTCGGAGTAATTCAGCCGTTGATGAGGATGCAGGAGCGGCTTGTAGCAAGTGTTACACTGTAGAAAAAGAAAAGTAAGTGGTAGATTAACAATGAAATTATAAAAACAACAATATAAATAAGTTTAATAACAAAAAAAATTAAGTAACAAAATTCTTTAATTATTATATAAGTTACCTTCAATCGTTCAGCGCAGCATGGCGTGGCCATAAAAATGTCATATGAATACATGGTGCCCAGTACGAGAGATGAGCCGTCCCATTTCTGTCCACAAAACCGACACCTGATGGTGCGCTCAGGATCACATCGCTCAAGGCAACCCATGCATACGCATGTTAAATACTGCGTACGACCCTCGACTTTCACCTGCGGGCAAAGATAGACTATATTATAGTAGCATACAATATTATAGTAGAGGTATAATATTTTTTATAAAACATTTATATTTTAGCTTTCAGGTAATATACATAAGTCAGTTTGATGGTAACATCGATTGGCATACTAAAAGCATCAGTGGTTGAAGGTTAAAAAAGATTTGTAATATTTAAGGAATAAAGTTTCTGTGGTAGGAATGCAAGAAAACTGTACGGTAATTCTAACATCAAACAAACATACAAGTCATAATACGTTAAATAAACAACGAGAGAGAAGTTACCCGGGCGGCGAACGTTACGTCGCGAACAGGGGGACGTTTATTTTGTAGACTTGAACAAACTCCGCGAGATCTTATTTAAGTTTGCGAAGAAATAAATATTTTAGTATTTAAAATAAAAACGGTTACAGTAAGAGCGAAGTTTAGAAGGGGAATACAATTTCTTATAGTGCTGTAAAATACATATAGTTTCAATTCGATTAAATTAGGTAAATTATTTAGAACTTTAATATTAAATGTACCTAAGTTTTGAATATAACATAAATAAAATTATAATATTTTTACATAGAATATTTTATGTTATGTATTTTTAATGTAAATATAGTTTTGTAACGTACTGAAAGGAATGATATGATTAATTTCAGGGTTTTTGAATGTCGATTTACAACTGTACAAAGTTATTTACATAATCTGCATTTGAAATCTCGTGGGATATAAAAACATTGCAGATAAGAGAAAACAGTGTTAATATAAAAATATTTAAGCCGTACCACTTTGCTATTATTTATTACTAAAATAATTACCTCAACAGCGCCGTTGCTGTGTTGCAATGGAGTGAGGAAAAAAGTGCCATCGACCAACGGATACCGGTCGAATACGTGGAGAGTTTCTTTGCACAGAGCACAAGATACTCTTGGCTTGTGTTGACCAGCCAAAGTGGAGAGAATGAACAGTCGCGTCTCGTCATTGCCGTGGTTTCCTTCATCCTCGATCTGAAATAAAATTTACAAGATCAGCAACTTCTTTTTGACATCTAACTTAGAAAAACCAAAATTGAATCTGATGTTCTGTTTAAAATCTTATTTCAACAAAGAAAATATATACGACTACATTAGATTAAAAGAAGTCTTACGTAAAACGTAATTCATGGATAAGATCAAACTAACAAAAGATTTCATCTCTAAAATGTCAAATGAAAGCTTAAGAAATGCCAGCTCGCAGTTTAGCAACAACTTTCGGTTCGAAAACAAAAGGTCGACCCTGTTCGCTATGAGCACAGACGTTATTGTAAAACCACGCAATTTCAATATTTCATATCCCCACATTTACATATTACGATTAATGCATCCACCCACGACACTTACCGCAGCAACTCTCCCTTCGTAATAACGCAAGTAAATGACTGCATAAAGTTGAATAATGAAAGGCTGAAAGGCAATTACGCTGAATTCGGAGTCGAAGTCAAACAAAGGCTCACGAGCGCCGCAGAGATCGATTGTGATTCGTTCACGTACGAGCAATTTGTGAGAGAGAATAATAATGAAAGTTTAACAAGTACAGTTGCTGCATAGGCCCACCGTCGTCGTGTCTTAATTAAGTATATTATAAACTGTCAAAGCGTGACGCGCTAATTTCCATTTTCTTAGCCCTGTTAACAAAGCATAGAGCTTTGTTCTACTTTTGGAAATAGTCCCGCCGCCTATTGTTTAGCTGTTTCATTATAATTTGAAATGTACTGCTGATTGCCTACACAATAATCATATGAAACAGAATGCAGTGCGCATAAGTAAGGAACTTGCGCATACCAATGTGCATAATATTGATGTTAGACATTCCTGTCTATTATTAGAGTGACGTCGTGACACCAGGAACACATAAAACGTAGTCGGCGAGAGCGTTGACCTACGCAAACAAACCGAGTATGATTTGCAGTAATAGTGCAATGCAGTTTGCCAAGAGGCGAGCGGTCTGGGGTGGGCCACCTAACTTTCAACTACGTCATGACCAGTGTATTATATTTATTACTTTAAATATTTTGGGTTTCTCGTCGTTCTATCGTTCTAAATTACAATCATCAGTCCTTTAGGTGACACATATAACAGTCCAAATATTAATATTACTGTTCCTGTTCCATTTGCATGAAACCAGTAAGATTGATTTCACTCAGCAAACAGGATGCAAAACCTATACACGATTTGTGTACTGACGATAGATACGAATTAATCATGAAGTACTTCATTGAATGAAATGAAAAATTACCGCGCAAAACTAAGTATCTATGAATTGCGAGGTTAATTAAACAGCGCTAGACTCGTCGCCTTAGGACTAATGAGTAACAATTAAATTGTTAAGTGTCGCGCTCACGAAAGTTTAGTGAGGTTGCAGGTCGCGGACAACGAACCCGGAGCGTTACAGGGCTGCAAACTTGTGCAATTTACTCTTGCACTGCGAGATTGATGAGCACTCTAACGCAGACTATTTATTTACTCAATCCGATCACGCTTTGTCTCGCAATCGTCGCCTTTTACAGTTGTCTACGATGACTCGGCGAGGTAGTAAACCAACACATAAAACTTTCTGACGACTCGGGGTAGGTAGATATGTCTATTACGGTACGGAGTGCAACCGCAGATGTAGGAATAGTCAGAAAGCGATTCGGTCTCGTCTAGTGTCAGTTAACACGGGTAGACGGGCTATTTAACTGAAGCAGACGATCGTAGCTTCCTCTAATTACGTCGACTGAATTTACATAGCGCAGGGAAACTTGGCAGCCGGCAAACTTGTTTTCAATAGTCAAAATGCTGGATGTATATACTCGCAATTTCCGTAAAGAGTATATTCTCTAATCATGAAACAGCCTGAAAACGGGCGAAAATAAATAAAGCACTTGAACAACGTCTACAGTATATTCAAAATTCAGTCTTGTATAAATTTAATCGCGGTCTTGGTCGTTTGATTCGATGTTCAAACAACAACAGTAAAAAGAGCCCGTTTCAACGAGGACAAGAGAGGAACAAGTGCGCTTGTAGCGTCGTAGTACTTAACGTCCCGCAGAACGAATGTACACACATTAAAAGTTTCCGAAATGAAGGTGACGTAATAATTAAAGAGCTGCATGGGGTGTCGCCCCACGTCAATATGCCCTTTTAGCGTGAACGAGATACGACTAAAAAGTATCAAATACACATCAATTAAAGTACTTTAAAACTCGCATCTGTTAAAAAGAATGATGTTTTAACTGTTTAAGGTAATTTGTCGTATCTACATAGTTTCTGTTCATTTAGAAACTTTCTTAGTTATAGAGTCTTAGTAATCGAATCGATACGATAAATTATTTTATTTTGTTACTTTTTAAAAAAGCACCAAGATTTCTGTTACCTTTATTGTCAATATAGTCCTATCGTTCTTTGTCTCAACTAAAAAGCGTAATGTCTGCAAATGAGCATTCATATAAAATAGCAGACATAAAGGTTGAATAATGACTATAAATCTAGATTGTTCCCAGGGGTGGCTTATTTTTAATTAGCCAAATGAAACTTTTCCTATTATATTTCGCCGTCGCCGGCTTTCGCCTCAGTAAAATGCAATATAATATAGAATAGATAAAAATTAAATACACAGGGAGCGTTGAGTAAAGTGGAGAATTGTGAGGCTGAGCAAAAATGAGAAACTCCGCCGCTAATCCAATTAGCTTCAACAAGATATACAATACTACGATCTGATACTAGTTAAATATAAAATTGAATTTGTAAACAGTCATTTCTAATTGGAATGTACATACTATTTCGTAAAAGGCACTATCCTTTTCAAAATATATACATGTATATGATTAGCTGCATATTAGTATCAAACTGCATGTTATACTCCGTACCTACTACAAGTAAATAATAATTATATTATTAAACAAAATAGCCACATTATGTAATTATATTTTGGATAATATAATATTATGCGTAGTGTTATGTATAGTATCATACATACATTAATATTGACGCAACGAACCACAATGGTCTGAGACAACAATTTTGTCCTACCCAAGCAATAAAACTGCGTAAATGTGCGCAATATATTTATTGTTTTTCAATCCCTGTTTGGTTTGTCCGATCGCATCACTTTATAATCTCTTGGTATAATCCAATGCATTCAGGAATAATATCAAAGGGAATGGACTAATAATATCGTAATATTTTTCATCTCGTCAGTTTCGACAATGTTTACAATGAATGGAGGTATTGATTTTCGATGTTGAATAGATGTCGAGATTACGACGTTCTGAAGAAAATTATAGTTTTATGTCATCACGGTGATTACTTTTAAACAAAGTTGTCTTCTCATCAGTATTCGACAGTCAAAAGACCGGAGATTTATGTAAATCTGCAGCATTTATTACGCTTGCAACTTTGTTATTGTCGATACTGTACCGTACTCCGAGGTATTCATGGAGCGAGCAATTTATTAATCTTTACAAAGCAAAATATCTCAAAATCAGAAGGTATTGAAAATGATTCGCATGCTTCGTAAGGTATTCATAGAATTCGAATGCGTATAGACAGTGCCGTACACATGGTGTGAAGGCTTCTGAAAAATTTTATGTCTTGAGATATTTTCTCGCGTGAATTAATGTCACGTCCTGAACATTCCATATTGTGTACGTCAAATACCACGGTATTGTGAAGAGTTCAGGCGTTTTAATTTATACACACATAGAATACACGTAATATATGTACTGAAGATATTTTTATGGAACCTTAATATTAATTTTCACATACTAAAAATATTGTACACATTTTTATTGTCAGCATTTAAACATTTCCTTGGTATTTTCTTACTAGTTTCTACAATTTAAATAAGACAAGACTTAAAACGTGATTTCGTATATTTATTGTTCTACTCAATAGTTTAATAACACCTTTATATATTTATATACAAAAGTTCAAGGTTATATATAGGAAATTCAGCATTTCCTGAGAGCAAAGCAGCCATTTTTTCTACTCAAGACATGTAAACGCAAGAGTCGTTACCATTTTATTGCGTCTGGTTGCGACGTGTCGATGGAATCGTATCGTCTCAATGGGAATAAAAAATTAAATTCGAATGAACGTTAAAATGTCTGTGCAAATCGTGAATACCAGAATATGATACGAATTTGATGAGCTCACCGCTCACAGGTTTCTTTGATTTTTATTAAAGCGCCGGACAGATCAATATTTGTTTCAGATTGTAATTGCATCGATTCAATTGTGTCCCCTAACACTTTATTGATATTCAAGATTTCAAACAAATGAGGTTTACATAGAGGTGTCGACATATTTCGCGTAGACGACACTATTTACGTGGTACATGGAAAACTACTTATCCTTACTCGGTTTTATCGTTAGCCTGTATTGTTATGTTAGTAACCAGCCATTGAAAGAACGCGTCGTTAATGCAGATAATGTTCCAACATATTTTATGGTCGGTAATTTAATGAAAATCAGATAATTAATCACGTCAAGGCTCGTTTACTGTGTCAGATGTAACAAAATGAAGTCATTATATTTTTAAATATTGTGATTGGGAGAAAGATTAAATTCATAAAGTAGTAAAAAGAGTACTATGACAATTAAATAAATTTGTTGAAGTTAATTGCTTTATCAGCGTTTTTGGTCGTGATAACAAAAAAGGAATACTTATATTACGTCATTCGTTGCCTCATATGACATTACGAGAATTGTAATATATTGTATCCCTACTGTCAAAAGGAGGTTAGCAATTGAAGGTAATCTTTTTTGTACACAATTATATAGGAATTATACAATAGATAGGTATTATGTGTTCTCATAATAAATGTGTGTAGTTATTTTTGTTCAAATATAATTGTTGCATTGCACCTTCCAGCGAAATGTTTGAGTGACAAAATTCTCAGTTATGTCACTTATAAATAGTCTTAAGGTTTTGCTATTACGATATTTACCATTGAATGGTTTTATTTAAGCATATTAATGCACTGTGG